CCGACTTGGATGTGGGAGGAGTTGGATTCGATCAGAAATCGCTTTTAGCCAGATCCAATAATCTTTTTTTTCTCTATCTTTTCTACCCCGTTTCCTCCACAGGGCGACGGACCGGTCGGGGGAGTGTTTCCACTTTCCCTTGATAATAAAAGTCTACAACCCCAAGGACAGAAAGAAAACCTTCTACGGAAAAGTCGACCATTCTGAGCCCAACAAGAGGGTGAAGTGTCCCCCGGTCCCGGACCTGGCCTGCCGGGATCTGAACGGGAGCTACAGCTGGTTTAAGGTGGGACAGCGCCCTCTGCTGGCCGCTGGCCGCCACTGCACCCCACAGCTGGGATTAGACTGGGGGACCCGGAAGGTTTTGGGCTTTCCAGGGTCCTTTTCTTTGACGGGGCATGTTGTTTAGATCAGTGTTTTTCAACCTTTTTTCAGCCAAGGTACATTTCTTCATTGAAAAAATCTCGAGGCACACCACCAACAAAAAATGTTAAACAAATCTGTAGCCGCCTATAGTGACACTATAGTTATTCTTATTTTAGTCTTATCTTATCTTAAGTGTCTTGAATAGGAATCAAATAAACACAAAAATGTATTTTTATGGTATTTTATATTTCTTCTTTCAAATTGCTCTTAACATGTCCACTTCAATATGCAAAATTATATACAAAATCTAGTCATAAGGAATTATTACATGATTACGCCACCAGTCACTAGAACAGCACAGACACTCAAAAATGGCATATTAGTTGCAGAAAATTAATTCCTTATCAAAAAATTATTTCAAACCAATTAGGTGAAATAGGATGATTTTCTACGGCACACCTGACCATCACTGGCGGCACACTAGTGTACGGAGGCACAGTGGTTGAAAAACACTGCTCTAGATCACATGGCTGTTTCTTTAAGGCTTTATATCCATGAAGGCTTTTTTATTATCAACATTTCTCACTTTAACGTGATATTATGTTCAATTAATTTATTCAAGTCCATTTTTAAGACTTCAAAACTTTCTGACTCTGAGCCTGACGCAGAGTTTTGTGTGTTTGTGTATGTGTACAAGTGTTTATGTGTGTGTGTACGTGTGTGTGTTTATGTGTGTGGGTGTGTGTGTACATGTGTGTGTGTGTGTGTGTGTGTTAGATTTGTTATTGATAGAATTTTTCCTCCTCTGAAAGCACCATTAAGGCTTTTTTAGTATCAACATTTCTCACTTTAACGTGCTATTATGTACAATTTAATTATTCATTTAGTCAATTTTTAAGACCTCAAATCTTATGGCAGCTTCCTTCAAAACTTTCTGACTCTGAGCCTGATGCAGAGTGTTGTGTGTGTGTACGTGTGTGTGTGTGTGTGTTTTCTTGTTAGGTTTGTTATTGAATTTTTCCTCCTCTGAAAACTCCATTTAAGCCTTTTATTATCAACATTTATCGCTTTAACGTGCTATTATGTACAATTTATTTATTAATTTAGTCCATTTTTAAGACCTTAAATCATACGGCTGTTGTTATGGCTTTGTGTGTGTGTGTGTGTGTGTGTGTGTGTGTGTGTGTTTCTTGTTATATTTGTTATGGTTGTGTATGTAGTTTTCACGTTTCCTGTATTTCTCTGTGTTTTTCTCCTCTTTAATTTCCTCCAGTGAGAAAATGGTCGCTAGCATTGCAGTGCTTGATTATAATTCGCATTTATTCAGATTTATCTGTTTGATATTTTGTTATGGATAGAATTTTTCCTCCTCTGAAAACACCATTAAAGCCTTTTACTATCAACATTTTTTCACTTTAGTGTGATATTATGTACAATTTCATTTATCCAACTCCATTTTTAACACCTTAAATAAACTTTTGCATGTTTTCCTGAATCTTTCCTTTTTAAATCACACGGTTAGACTGAATAATGCACTAAGATAGTTTTATTAAATGCATCTTTCTGGGATCCCTTCTGCTGCAGGATGGAAACCTCCTGCATGGAGAGAGTGAACCCTTTGTAATGGTGAATGAAGCCACCAAAGAGGACGAGGGCGAGTACACCTGCACCTGCACATGGACTCACAACCACAGGACCCACAACTCATCAGGAACCAGGACGATGATTGTTAAAGGTAACTTTATTTACCTATTCTTGATGCTGTAGCATGGGATAGACCCCAGCCCCCCTGCAACCCCTGTAGTGATGAGAAAAATCTGTAGAAATAGGATATTTTTAATCTTTTATTCAGACGTAGTTGTGTAGTTTCTGTTTTGTAAGTCCTTTATTAACAATCTTGACTTAATTTTTTGTCCATTTCTAGAAAGAATTACACTTAAAGCATTTGTTTTTTACTTTTAAAGCAACCTTTTTACTTCTGAAGCTTTTGAAAGCGTTCACAGCCTCTTGTTAAATCTGTGCCATTAACCCTTTTCAGCCATAGGTATCATATTTGATACACACGGTTCATATAAATGTTATAAATCTTCTGCATCAGAGATATTTTGCATCATTTAATGGTAAATACTTTGCTCAAAACCCTGTTGCACAGAGTCAGTTATACTGATAACAGCAGGAAGAATACTATAGACTATAATTCTTATTACACAGTAATAAAAGATTAATTTTCAAATTCCTGTCTTTTTTCATGCTTTGATAAAGGGCCAAATAAAGTCTTCAGATTAAAAAAGACAACAACATATTTCTCTCCATTATTTTTTGCATCAGAAAAAGCTCCCCCCTCCCAAACACTATATATTTAATAGAGATTTGAGCAAACTGCATGAACTTTAGAGGAGAAAAATGCTGATTAAATGGTCCAACAACAGCAAGTGGAGCATAAAACTCAGATATCTCCTCATCTGCACAGGAAGTTCCTCTAAATGTGAAGCTTAAAGCATAATTTCCATAAAGATATCATCAGCAACATTTCTACAGGTTATCAGATGACTATAAAGGAAAGTCCCTGTGATTGGCTAGGGGTTTGTGTTATCATGCTTCTGTCAGCTTTTTGTTCAGAACTTGCTCAGATATTCACAAGTAAAGCATAAATAGCTTTTTAATACGTGCAAAATGAACTAAACCCACTGCTTGTATCTTGTTTTCTGTCCCACATCTGTGTTTTTTGTTCCTCTTTTTCCTGCAGAAAGAGTTTTCTATGATGAGATTAAGATCCTGGCTCCTACTAACAGTGAGCAGTTTGCAGAAGAAGGTAACAAAACTTTGCCCCTCTACACTTTTATGGAGGAATGAACTAATTAACTAATCGTTTCTAGATAAAAAGGTGGACTGCACATGTTTTAAGATGTCTTCCTAATGAAATACTGCATGTTACAATGTGAACATGTGTTGTTTACAGACCCTTTTCTTAACCCTTTTTTATTTTGGTCCATCTTAACAGGATATTATCGTGCACATTTCATTTTTATGGGTTAGGGTTAGGTTTCATGATTCACCGATGTCCACTTTAGTATCCTGCACACCTTTAAAACATAAAAACACACATAAATATGTATTAAAAAAAGGCTTTTAAACAGCGTTACACTGTGCATGAAGGGGTTAAAATCCCACATTGGAAATGCCGTCATTCTTCTTGCTTATTTCTAAGGAATTCTTCCTTTAATCATTCACAGAAAATCAATGTAAAATGTTAAAAACAAGATGTTTTTTTAATGGAACGGACTGATTGTTGTCTTTCCAACCAGATAAATCAAATCCAGTCATAATGGGCATATTTGAGTTTTTCCTGGGAGATAAATTCAGGGTTTGTTCCGAGTTGACGGCCCTTTTTTGTGACATGGCCGGTTAACGTGGAGGAGGAAAAAAAAGCTGAGGATTCCCGTTTCCTGTGTCTCCTTCTGCCCCCTTTAGGCCTCGGGATCAGACTGAACTGCTCGGTGTTCTGTGGCCTGAACCTGAAACAGGACTGCGATGCCAAGTGGAGGATTAAAGGAGAGGATCTGGACCAGCTGGACGGATACAATCAAACCACAAAGATGTAAAATATCTACTCAGAAACTCCTTATTCTGGCTTTTTCTGGCCGGCAGAAAAAGGGGAAATTTTTCCGTTCGATCACAGTTTTCTGACTCGAAAACATCAAATTTAAACTGTTTTCGGAGCTTTCTGTTGTGGTCGTTTGATTAGATAGACAGATAGATAGATAGATAGATAGATAGATAGATAGATAGATAGATAGATAGATAGATAGATAGATAGATAGATAGATAGATAGATAGATAGATA